CCTAATACCATTATCTCATAGACAATAACCTCCCCCCTACCCCCACCCCTGTTCTAAAATCTGATTTGTCAATTTTATGTGTTCACTTTTTTTTGGTAATTGTATCCCTTTGGTATATACGGTCATGCCAATTTTCTTCCACAATTTGATCTGAGGAAGTGGGTCTGGCCCACAAAAGCTTATCACCTAATAAACCATCTTGTTAGTCTTTAAAGTGCTACATAGTCCTGTATTTTGTTTCAGCAAGACCAGACTAACATGGCTACATCTCTATTACTAAATCAAAGAGAAGATAGGAAACTTTTTTTTTTTTGAGGGAGATTTAGGAGGATTAATCTAATCTCATCTAACCCATTGAACGGTTTTCTTTAGACCTCATCATTTCCCATTCCCAGTCTTTTCTCGCCTCTGATTCTGGAAATGGAATCTAGATAAATAATGACAATACTGAGTGTTAACAAAACTGGTTACTTAGAAATGTCTCTTGTGAAGGATTAACAACGCCCAGTTAAGACAGACATACAGAATCAGACCTGGGGTGGTGAGAGCACATAGTATAAGGACAGGTAGATTCAGAATAAAGCAGCTTTGATGGTTTACCATAAGAACGGCCACACTGGGTCAGACCTAAAGTGCATTTAGCCCAGTATCCTTCTTCCAACAGTGGCCAATGCCAGGTGCCCCAGAGGAATGACCAGAACAGGGAATCATCAAGTAATCCATTTCCTGTCACCCATTTCCAGCTTCTGACAAAGAGAGGCTAGGGACACCATTCCTATCCATCCCGGCTAATAGCCATTAATGGACCTTTACTCCATGAATTTCTTTTGTGTGTGTGTTTTTTTTGGAACCCTGTTCTAGCTTTGGACTTAATATCCTGTGGCAAGGAGTTCCATAAGTTGACCGTGTTGTGTGTGAAGAAGTACATCCGTTTGTTTAAAAACTGCTGCCTATTAATTTTGTTTGATAATCCCTCGTTCTTGTGTTATGGGAACGAGTCAACTCTTCTTTATTAACATTTTCCCACACCAGGCATGATTTTACAAACCTTTATCATATCCCCCGAGTCGTTTCCCTTTCAAGCTGAAAAGTTCCAGTCCTAGTAATCTCTCCTCATAGTCCCAGTCTTACGATCTTATCTCCTCCTTAGCTAGATAGACACTCATCATACTGTAGTGCAGAGCTGGGCAAGATGGGACCTGGCGAGCGGCCCCGGCTCACCTACCACTGTGATCCAGCACGTGGACAGCATCTGGCATCTTTTTATTTAATTCCGGCTGCCTGTGCCACTGAATTTCCCAGCAGCGGCTCAGGCAGCAGGATCCTATTTAAATGGCTCCGGGTTGCGGTGCTATCCCAGCCTAGCTGCAGCAACCCACGGCGGCTGTCAGGCACTGTGGTAGTGGAAAAGCTGCAAGCCCTTTCCTGTGTTTGTAATTCAAAGCCTCTGGGAGAGGCTTGTCTCCGGCCCCGCCCCTTCTGCCCCAAGCCCCGCCCCTTCCAGGGTGGAGCCGGCCCTTGACCACGTACCAAAATTCATTAAGTGGCCCCCCTGTGAAATGTATTTCCCACCCCTGCTGCAGTGGATTGGGGGAGGAAGGATTAAAGTGATAAATGAGGGTGCCAAAGTCCGCCAGGAGGGTCTCAGAGGACTCTTGTTGGAGCTAATGGGACATGTTAAAGTTTAACACAAACTAGACTGAGCAGTGTCCACAGCACTGGAGCCACAAGTCTTTTAAATAGCTGCAGCAATCCACGGCGGCTGCCAGGCACTGTGGTTCTGGAAGAACTGCGAGCGGTATCATAGACACAGCGATAGTTTTGTCGACAAAAGTCGACTTTTATCGACAAAACCCAGTAGTCTAGACACACCCCTAGGCTGTGTCTACACTGGCATCCCTTCCGGAAAAGGGATGCTAATGTAGCACATCGCAATTGCAAATTCCGCGGGGGATTTAAATATCCCCCGCGGGATTTGCATTTACATGGCTGCCGCTTTTTTCCGGCGTGGGGAAAAGCCGGAGAAAAGCGCCAGTCTAGACGTTATTCTCCAGAAAATAAAGCCTTTTCCGGAGGATTTCTTATTCCTACTTTCAAGTAGGGATGTAAAATCCTGGATAACCCGTTAAACATTAAGGTCGAACTAATGTTTAATCAGCTAACAACTAAAGTGGGATCTGGGCGGGAGCATTAAGAGTCACACATTGACATAAAGGGTGTGTATACACAGCACCCTAAACTCAAAATAAGAAACACAATATGCGCTACGCAAACTGCGCATCTTATTTTGAAATAGTGTTTGAAATTTGGTGCATCTGCACAGTGCCAAATTTCGAAATAACGCACTATTTCAAGACCTCCCTTAACCGTTGTGGAATGAGAGTTACAGGGATGCTGAAATAGCGCAGCTGCTATTTTGAGACCGATCTTGAAAGAGCGGGCGCGTTCAAATGATGCGGGGCAGCTATTTTGGGATACTTCTGGTAGACATACCCAAAGAGTATAATGGACAAGAGGCAGGGCCATCCGATCCCTGTGATGGAAGGGCAAAAATATCCCATTTGAGCCTTCAAAGAGTCTAGAAACTAGTTAAGAGGGAAGTTCTTGTAGAGAGTGTAAAGAGGTTCCATGACAGGATTTCTGTGGTGAGAAAAGATTATCTTCAATAAAAGATTAGCTTCTATGTTATTATCCTGGTCTGTTGGTTTTAGACCTCCAAAGGGTTAGTGGATGTAACCTTTGAGGACTAGAGTTTTTCTCAGAGGAAGAAAATCTGTGGAAAAATAGCAAATGCTGAAGGAAATATCAGAGTCCTCCTTGTATACAACACTGCAGCAAAATGTCTAGAGTCTTCCACGAGGAAGGCAAGAGACCTTTTGAAAGAAAACTCTTCAGCTTTCTCAGGATTTAAATGCTCCCACCTTTCTAAACCCATGTCCAAGCCAAGCAACTATCCCTGGGATGATCCATCTTAAGTTGGGGCACACTGACTGGCTGTGTCTACATTGGCACCCTTTTCCGGAAAAGGGATGCTAATGAGACACTTCGGAATTGAAAATTCCGTGGGGATTTAAATTTTCCCCACGGCATTTGCATGAACATGGCTGCCGCTTTTTTCCGGCTCGGGGCTTTGCTGGAGAAAAGCGCCAGTCTAGACGGGATCTTGCAGAAAATAAACCCTTTTCCGGAAGATCCCTTATTCCTACTTGAAAGTTGTATACTTGAAAGTAGGAATAAGGGATCTTCTGCAAAAGGGTTTATGTTCCGCAAGATCCCGTCTAGACTGGCGCTTTTCTCCGGCAAAACCCCGAGCTGGAAAAAAGCGGCAGCCATGTTCATGCAAATGCCGCGGGGAAAATTTAAATCCCTGCGGAATTTGCAATTCCGAAGTGTCTCATTAGCATCCCGTTTCCAGAAAAGGGTGCCAATGTAGACACAGCCACTATGTGCTGAGAGACCTCACTCCAGGCAAAGAAGCAGGATTATTTAGAACAGCTCTACTTCACAGGGAAAAACTCTGGAACCATTGCACATATGTTCACTGTAATTGGTGGATGAGAGAACACCAAAACCATCAAGTGATACTGGAATTACACTTCACTTTGAATCACTTATTGCCACAATCCTGAAGTGTCTTCTAAGCTATGTGCTACACAGTCTTATGGTTAACTTTGTTCCTCAGTTATGCTGGTATCAGCCAGGATTTAAACCTGTTTAACAGCACAGAATTTGGCCCTGACACTTTACAAAGTAGAGGGTGTCTGCATTTTGGTTCAGGTATTTCACAAAATTTAAAATTGTATCATTGTGTGTGCGCGCAAGAGTTTCATCTGCCTGAATTTTAGATAAACCAACATTCATGCAAACTGTGTGGCCCATTACACAGAAATGTCAAATGTCTGTTACAAATCTGAAACTGCCAATATATATAGTATCGTGAGCTTTAGTGGGCAAAACCCACTTCCTCAGATGTATTTGTTAGTCTTTAAGTCTTGGTCTACTCTACGGCATTATTTCAAACTCCCGCCGCCATAGGCTGAATTTATAAGCAGAGCATCCACACTACCAAGTTCATTCTTTTGAAATAACGGGCCACTTATTTTGAAATCTGTACTCCCACTTTCTTCAAGGAATAATGCTAATTTTGAAATAGTTATTTTGAAATAACGGTAGTGTGGAAGCTCCAGTGCCGCTATTTCAAAATAGCTACTCCCCAGATTAATTTGAATGAATGACTTTCATAGACTCATAGACTTTAAGGTCAGAAGGGATCATTATGATCATCTAGTCTGACCCCCTGCACAGTGCAGGTCACAGAATCTCACCCACCCCTCTTAGAATAATCGTCTCACCTATATCTCCAATATTGAAGCCTTCATATAGTTTGAAGGTCCCAAGATGCAGAGAATCCTCCAGCTGTGATCCATGCCCCATGCTACAGAGGAAGGCGAAAAACCTCCAGGGTCTCTGTGCTTTCTGGGCACTAAGTCGAGGTAGCGAGTCCACATTAACGGAGCCTGCCTCAGACTAATTTTGTGGCTTCCCCGTAGTGGGGACACGCTATTTTGATTTTGTAAAATCGGGAGTTATTAAGTCAAATTTAGTTATTTCGAAATAATTTCCTAGTGTAGTCATGCCCTAAGGTGCCACAAGACTATTCATTGTTTTTAAAGTTACAGACTAACATGGCTATACCTCTGAGACTTTTATATATGTTTAAAATCTGGCTTTGCTCTAGAGCAGACAGTTTCATTGGATTACTTCGAACAGAACGGCTAGATAAAATACATCAGAATTTTAAAGGTAGATGTATGGATAGGAAGCTAAAGAGAAAGGAAGCTGGGCAGGCAGAAACAGAAAGATAGACACAGACAAACAAACAAAGACAGATACCCTGGCCTGATGACTTTTACTGTAAAATAAGTATTAAAAACACACACATTAAAAAAAAAGAACCAACAACCCTGGAAATGAGAATTATAAACTCTAAGGAAACTGAGTTGCTCTTGGTCACTGTTTATTACTTTCCTCTCGTCAATTCTGCTCTGGGTAAGGCCAGTCCCTCGCATTATAAAACGTCTTCAGCCCCTGGAGATTGACCGGCGGAAAGTACGGCCCGATTTTTTTTCGAATCCACCATTTCCCTTCTCTGGCATGTTTGCCTCCTGGTTGGCTAAATTTGTACTTGAAGTGCTCTCCTCTGATCCACCTTTGAATAAAAGAAACCACACAGTGCAGTCAGAATGAGGTTGAAGACAAATATACACATATACAGTGAAGAAGGAAAAGTTATTTACTTGTTCCTATAGCATAAGAACTAGGGGGGTCACCAAATGAAGTCAATAGATAGCAAGTGTAAAACAAAAGGAAGTTTTTCTTCATGCAGCGCACAGTCAACCTGTGGAACTCCTTGCCAGAAGATGTTGTGAAGACCAGGACGTTAGCAGGGTGAACCGAACAGGTAATGATCAAGCAATCTCTCTCCTGCCATCCATCTCAACCCTCTGACCAACAGAGGCTAGGGACACCATTCTTTACCCATCCTGGCTAATAGCCATTTATGGTCTTAACCTCCATGAATTCATCTAGTTCTTTTTTAAACCCTGTTATACATCAGCTACACCGTAGGCCTACTCTGGAGCTGGAGGTGTGATTGCCAGTCCAGCTGGACACACCAGTGCTCGCTCTGACCAAGCAAGAGTAACAAAAATAGGCGTGTAGCGCAGTGGGATAGACGAACAGCCTCTACTAAAACTCTGTCGAACACCCTAGGTCAGGGCTACTCAGCTCTGGAAGCCCCGGGGTCCACAACGATACAGCACATGCCGAGGGCAGCAACTTAAGTGTATTTGCATATACATGCAAATGTATATGCAAATAGCTTCTTTCACACTGACAGGCATGAATACAAAGATTAAGGCAAGACTACACAATACACAGGCCTCATTTAAGTCAGTTCTGCTGATCTTAATCAAATGCAATATTTATCCAATTTCCACCCATCTGACAGCACTTTGAATGAGCAAGGACAGTCCAGGAATTTAACTACTAAAACATATATGAACAGAAGACCGTTATATTGATGACTTTATTGTTTTGGCTCCCACCCGCCGGCCGCCTGTCGAGCCCAGCGTTAACCCAAACTGCACCGTGGGCCACACGTTGAGGTAGTCCTGCCTTGGGCAATAGCTGGGCAGCTAGCCTGGCCCACCACCATGGCTATTCACATTTCTACAGCACTAGTTTGACCTGGGCGGACACACACCCTTGGAGTCACGCTGTAAGACACTGGTTGTTTTTCCTCCTCAAGAAAAGAGTTTGTGAAAAAAACCCAAGGAGCTTTCGATCGATCCCCTCAAATTAGTCACCTCCATGAAAATGTTTCATGACAGCAGCCTGAAGTCTCCCTCCACCCTCAGCTTACTCCTGCTCCGTTTCCTCCACCACTTACTAGCGAGGCTCAGAGCGCGTCTGTTTTCTGACCGCCCTGACAGCCGAGAGAAAAACAGATTTTTTTTGAGGTGCGTGGAAAGAAGCATTCATCAGTCAAGCGCCACACATGGGGAGGCTGCACAGGCGTTTTGTTCTCCAAGTCTTGGGCTTAGACACACCCCTTTCTCCCTCCCCTTGATATAGGGCATGCTGACAAGAGAGAGAACACCACAGCAGCCCTTTGGCATGGAGGGCCCTATTTGCAGAGGGCATGACAGTATTTGCCGGGTAGGTTCATAAAATAACGGGCAATAAAAAATGTCACAGTCGTGTCAATGCTCATTTCCAACGGCTTTGCTTCGCTATGAAAATACAAACCTTGCTCCTGAGCAGGGCAGCTGCCTGTTCTTATCAATGGGTCTTCTCCTGCAATGAACTCAGTTCCTACCGGTAAAACAATCATGAAGGCAGCTATATATTGGGTGCGTTCTCTTCGGACCCGAGGCACTCAGACATGAAGCTCCGCTTGCAGCAAAAGACCGAGAAGGATTTTAAAAAACGGACGTGCTGTGATCCAGCCCTGGACATCTCCACGTAAGACTTGACTGGTGCCCCGGTGCCGGGGAATGGACAATAAATGCTCCCATTAAAAACACAGCACCACGTAGCTATCAAGAGTACCTCTCTCTGCAGCTGGTCACCCGGGTTTGCCAATATCAGGGCCCCTTGTTCATTGTTCTAACTTAAAAAAAAGCAAAGCAAAATCAAATGCTTCGAGCCTCTCTCTCAATGGGGATCGAGTGAGCACGTGGGCAGCTGCATAGTATGTCAGTGAAATATTAACTAGTTTGCGGGTTATGGAGAAAAGGTGGGGGCTGGAACACCCCCCCCCCCCGCCGCCCCGTGCCGGCCTCCCCAACAGGGGCCAATCCCACCCGGCCGGTAGGGTTGCCAGATGGTTGAAACAAAAATGCCGAACTCCGCCCCCCTTTGGCGGCCAGCCATTTTGTGCTGACAGCCTTGCGGAACCAGGTAAGCATGGGGTCTGGAGTCGGGAGGCTGGGGGTGTTTGGAGCCAGAGGGAGGGGAGCTGGGGGGGAAGGGGAGGCCGGGCGCTGAGTGTCTGTAGGGTTGCCAGGTGCCCGGCACTTTTGCCTCCTGGCCAGAGGAAAAAATCAGAAAATACCAGTTTGGCGGCCAGCCATTTTGTGCTGACAGCCTTGCGGAACCAGGTAAGCATGGGGTCTGGAGTCGGGAGGCTGGGGGTGTTTGGAGCCAGAGGGAGGGGAGCTGGGGGGGAAGGGGAGGCCGGGCGCTGAGTGTCTGTAGGGTTGCCAGGTGCCCGGCACTTTTGCCTCCTGGCCAGAGGAAAAAATCAGAAAATACCAGACATTTTAGATGTCCAGTATTCTCTGAATTTATTTTTACTGGACAGGAGGTGAAAATACCGGACTGTCCAGGTGAATACCGGACACCTGGCAACCCTACCATCCTCCTTCAATCCGTTAACCGGGTAAACTTTATGTTTAACCAGTTCACTAATTAAATGGGATTTTGCATTCCTATTGCATCCGTGATGCTCCCGGGAGCGGGGACAAGGGCCCCCCAAAGGGCATGAGTGGGAGAGGCAAAGTGCCGGCCAGGAGCTGATGGGGGGACAAGCAGGGCTGGTGGCTGGCCCTCCCTCCCCATGCTCACCGGCAGTGGCGGGGCAAGCGGAGTAACGGCCCCAGGTCTCTATGCTCCTCCGTCAGCACCGCTTGGGGAAGGGCAGGACCGCCCCGCACTCACCCGCGGGAAGCCGAGTGGCCCCACACCACCCTCTCCTCTTTCTCGCATCCCTCTGCACCGGCCCGTCAGGACGAAGCCGATCCCGCGTCACCACTGGGGCTTGGGCAGCCAGGCGTAGGGGTCAGAGCCCAAGGCAAGGGGGCCAGGGCAAGCTGAGAAGCACCAGGCCCATCACGACACCTTGTGGCAGATACATTCCTGGGAGCTCCTCCGCTTAAATAGGGTGTCCTGACCAATCAGGGGCCTCATAGAAGCTGTCAGTCATGCTATGTGAGGCGGAACTTCCTGTAGTGTTTATCTCCACAGGATTTATACGATAATGCACACAGCCCCCTCACGAGTCCGGGGTAGCAGTGCAGAGGCGGAGGTCCCCCACGTCACTCCTAACCAGGCGGTGCCCTCAGGGGTCTGAGTGGGTTTTAGCGATGCATTGCCCTGCCAGGACCCTTGCGCTGCACATTTCAGGGGAAGGCTGTGGAATAATTGTTTTCAAAGAGGTCAGATCTTCACCATTCCTCACACTCTGCGTTTGTTGGCGTACAGAAACCTGGACTGTATCACTGCAAATGCGATCCTGCAGCTGCTGTTTTAATTATAGTCAGGAGTTGTTTTTTTTTTCTTTTTAAAGGCTGGTAAAAGTCAACTGGGGGCTGAAGTGTTACTCCCAGAGTGTTTACTTCGCAGGAGCAGAAAATTTCCTGTTCATAATTAGAACATTACTAACCATCTAAGTTTACATAGGCCCAGGTAGCCCGCAGGCTTCTGTCTGAGGTACTTATAGATTTAAAAGCTGTGCTGCTGGATTGCTTGTTGTGATTCTGAAACCCAGCCACCTTTCAGAACAGCTCCAATGGTTTGGGGGCCAGCCCCCTTCACTGACCACGAGTGTGCTATTCTTTCAGGGAAGCTGCAGCAAATACCAGCAAATCAAAGCTCCAAAACAGAGCTGGGAAATAACATCCAAGGAGACTGGGAGATAGTGTGGCCTAGTGAATAGGACACAGGAGAGGTGGGAATTGACCCCTTGGCTCGTCCAATCACTTGCCAGGTGAGCATGGGCAAGCGACCTCTTCTCTCTGAACCTCTTTTCCCCTCCCACCCTCTCTCTGGGCAGCTGTGATGGAAATGTTTTTAGGAAAGGGGTTATTCACACAATATGCATCTGCACCAAATCCATCGCAGTGAGGCCTTGGTCTCAAATGGGGAGCGTAGGCCCCGCTAACATAAATAAAACCATATTCGGTACTAGGCCCTAAACATCAATCTTTGCAATATCCCTGTGTGACAGGAAAGCACGACAATCCCTCTTTTACACACGGGAAGCTGAGTCAGAGAGGGATTAAGGGATGTGGCCAAGGTCGCACAAGGAAGCCTGTGGCAGAGAGAGCTCCCGCATCCCTCCCATTCATTGCTCTGACCACAAAGTCAAGCTGGCTGTTGGGCGAGCCCTTTGGAACAAAAACTTCCCCGTCCCTTCCAAGTGGGTTTGCCCGCCCTGTTTAAATAAGATCTATCATCTGATGTGGCATGATCTTTCCCATATGTCGTCTGTCTATTAAAAAGTTTGCTATCAAAGGAGTCGGCCTGTAAAACTAGAACCGTGTGAGCATTCAGGCAACCGCACACAATTAAAGCTGCATTTTTGTGGCAGAAAGCTTGCGTCTGAATACATTTCAAACTCTTCCATAGAGAGTCTAAATAACACTCCAAAACCAACCAAAAAACCCAGCCAGGTCCTCTCCCGTCCCCCAAACCTCTACCTGAATCTGGGGGATAGAAGGGGGGGGGGATTCCAAAGAGGCTAAGTGATTTAGGAGCATGATTCTCACTCTCAATAGGACTTGGGCTCCTAAATCACAGAGGCACTTTGAAAAATTCCACCCCAAACTCGCCATTACTACAGTGGCAGCAGCTAGATTCCTGGGCCCTTTAAATAGCCACTAGAGTGCTGGGCAATGTATTCCGGGTGACGCTAAAGGACTGGAG